GGATTTTAGGATCTACAGAGGTGTTACAAAAAATAATTAATATCCGATATACTTGAACCGAACCCGAACGGGTACCCGAACGCCCATGCCTAGTCAAAACTCCAGTGCCTTATCTCTCAAATATGGTTACACTTATGTCTTGTTGAAAAGATTGAGAATTTTTTTTGCTTTTCAAGGTTTCCTGATTTGGTGCTTGTTTGCTTATAGATGTGGAAATGTAGCTCTCACCTAACTGTGTCTTCAACGTTCATGAGCTATTTAATCTTCATAGTGCTTGAGACTTGTGAATATCATAGGATCATATAATGTTGTACAAAAAAGCAATGTTCTTACTGTTTCAACGATTTCAGTGCTCTCCCTCTTTGAGGTGAAATGTGTGTCCCTCACCTAGCTTTGTCCCCCATTGTCCTTGTGCTATCTGAATTTCATACAAGCTTTAAACTTAGAGAGATGTTGGTTTGCGTTGTTTGGCAGCTCTCGTATGTGCTCTTGGTACCCAGGCGCTCTATGGTGCTTGGTATAGTGTTGGAGGAAGCCTGCATTGTCAGTATTCCAACTTTGTGATTGGAGCTGTTGGAAATGGTGTCACCTTAAACATTAAATCCTTTCAGAATGTCTTGTTCTACCTCAATTTTTCCCTGACAAAGGTGGTGCCAAGCCTTTTGTTCCCGCCATAGTCAGTGGCTAACTGGTAGTTTTGATCTTATTAGTCACCTAAAGTCATGGCTAGAGAAGGGTGCAATCATCCCCGGCTCAACCACAGGTCTTTCAAAGCATACATTTTGTTATTATATAACAATGTGATTATTTATACAACTTGTATATCTTTCTTATAGATCAAAGAATTGACATGTGGTTGATCCATTACCATCATATGGAAGAGGAAGAGAGTTGCCTAGTAGAAGGCATATGAGTCTTATATATGATCAGAATCTCACAGGTACTTACTAGTATGGCAATTTATATGAAATGACTCGTTTTTGAATCATTAATGTTTGTCTAGATGATATTGTAATCATTAAATCATAGAAGAGAACGGGACAATAGATGGTGAAGGAAGTATATGGTTTGATTGGTTTAGAAATGGAGAGCTAAACTATACAAGACCTCATTTTGTTGAGCTCATGAACTCTACTGGTCTTATCATCTCCAACCTCAGCTTCTTGAACTCACCCTTTTGTAACATCCATCATGTTTATTACAGGCAAATTTCACATCTAAAGCTATTTGTAATTCAGATAATCATGTGTTCTGACATGAATATTTCTTCTCATGTCTGAATCTTACAATCTTGGCTCCTCTTAAATCTCCAAACACAGACAAAGTTCCAGGTGAGTATTTCATTGCAAAGATCATTCTTTAGAGATGGTTTCAGCTTCTTCTGTTTTTTCTTCCTTTCTGCAGACTCATCAACTAACGTTTCCATAGAGGATTGTTACAGGAGATGATTTAGTATCGATCAACGGATGGGATGAGTATCGAATCTCCTACGCAAAACTGAGCTCAAAGATCAAGATCAATAGGTTAACATGTCAAACTACTTCAAGCTCATGAATATCCATAGGAAGCGAGATGTCAAGAGGTGTATCTGACATCTATATCAAAGAGTTACATAAATTGAATTCCAATACAGGAATAAGAATCAAGACCTCTCCGGGACGACGAGGGAACGTTAGAAACGTTTCGTATCAAACGTGAATGTCCATAATGTGCAGAATACTAATAGGTTCACTGGTAATTGTGGTGAACATCCTGATGAAAGATTTGATCCTAAAGCACAAATGTTAGAGGCTATTCACAGTGGGTTTCACCGGAGCTTACTTGTGGTTATTTTGAAGAGAGTATCTTCCTGGAGCATAGCTCTGACTGTTTTGGTTTATCAGAGAATAATCTTGAGAAGAAATGAAGGGGTTTAAGTAGGTCACCACGGTTGCTTTCTTGACCAGCAGGGGAAACACACCGTGTAATATCTCCAACAAGAATCTGTTGAATTGAATTTTTATGTTATTAACAATTACTCCTCCCTTCCGTTTTAATTTATTTGTCATAGTAAAGTAAAAATTTTGTTACAAAATAAGTATTTTTTAAATGACTTTAATACCAAATTTAAAATTATACATGGTATACTATTTTTTATTGGTTGAAATGTGATTAAGTTTATATGTAATAATGTTTTTATTTATAAAATATGCAAAATTTAATATATTTTTTTAATTTGTGTACACAAAATTTTATTCTCAAATTCCATATATAAGAACAAAACTATTACAAATATTTGATCCAAAAACCAACTCGAATCTGAAGAAAACAATGGAAGTTAACAAAAGAATGTACTATACGAGCAATGTATTAGTCTTACATCGAGACTGAATAAAGTAATCATCCATTATGGAGCTAGGCTAGACAGGTTACGCTTTTCCGGGACAGGAGGTACTGCTTAGTATGAGTTACACTATCTACAATGTTGATTTATTCAACACTCTATTTTTATCATCTTAACATTCCACATCATCTTCTTTCTATTCTACCTAATTATTCAACATCTGCTTCATTTTAACTTTTACAATAGTTTTGTTTAATAAAATTTAACACCCTACCCACTATTTTTAAATCATTATTGTTCTTTTATATTTTTAATAGCTACATAAATAATCATTTCGAGTGTAGTTAACATAAATAATAAAAATACTATATTTAATAATTTTCTATTTATCCTCTTAATTATTTTAAAAATACAATATTATTTTTATTAAAACAAATAAAATTACAAAAATTCAAATATACACGATATAATACACAAACAACAAATAAAAACACATAACTTAACTGAAACAATAGATTCAATTCAAAAAAAAAACTCTTAAATCACACACAACTTAAAATCGATTTAATTTTGGAACATTCCAAATTTTTGCCTATATGTGTTTGACTAGATATGGTTGCAATTCGTGATGAATATTTGAATCACGTAATTCAGATCTAGCACCCACATGATTTTCAAAAACCGGTAAAGGTTTATAAAATGATTCATAAAGGTTTATAAGTTATTTATAAAGGCTTATAAAGGTTTATAAGTTCTTTATAAGAGTTTATAAATGTTTATAAAATGATCTATAAAGGTTTATAAGTTATCTATAAAGGTTTATAAGTTATTTATAAAGGTTTATAAAATGATTCATAAAGGTTTATAAGTTTATAAATTGGTTTGTAAGCCCTTCATTGACACCGCTTATGCCACCAAGACCAATTTGTTTAGAAAATTCGAGAATTTCTATTGTTCAAATAATTGGAACAATTTCATTATCCATTGAAGTAGAAGAAAAAAGAAGTTTTTGTGATAAATTTGGCATCATCGATCCATAATATGGAGGATAGTTTATAACAAATGATGGCATAAAAATTTTTGGTGCAAAACCATAATTTGAAATATTTTGGGGTGTATTTGAAGATTGATTTTGAAAATGATAGTTGTTGAGATTTGGATAGTTAAAAGGAAAATTATACGAATTTTGAATGTTAAATGGATTATAACAAAAAAAGGTATAAACACACAGATTTTTTGATTAAAATCTAATTTATAGTGAAAATTAAAGTTTCTTTATGTATCCAAATGGAACCAGACTACTCTCTATTTATAGATCATCAAAATCATAAATTTTGATATAAATTTTATTTAAAAGAAAAAGAGTTTTACTATAAAATATTTGAGTTTCAATTATTTAAAGGGATAAGAATCTCAAAAAAGTTTGCCAACCAATGAGAATATAACAACATATTTTTAAAGATAAATGAGTTTTTTTTTCGAAAAGCAAAGGCGTGAGATTCACTTGCTCACTCTCTCTCCACTCAGTTGCTGTCACGTGTCGTTTGGGGTCCACTTTTTCTCCATTCAACTGGTTGAATAAATTCAACGGAGAATAATCTACGTCTTTTTTTTTTCATTCAACAAACTCATTGTATGCCATAAATTGTTGAGTTAATAATTCAACTACCTTATTGTAAGTAGTCTTAGAGTCAGTATTGATGTGCTATAAGAAGCCAAAATTTCAATTTCATACAAAATTGGATTTTATTATTATATAGATAGTAATTTTCTGAAACTACAAATCTAATAAACAACAACAACAACAGTGGGAAAAACGAGAAGGAGGAAGTAAATGAGGATCATGAGGCATCTCTTAGTTCAGAGCCCCCTAGGATCCCCCAAACCCCTACATGCCAAATTGATGCATCATGGATCGATAATGGTAGTGTCAGTGGCTTAGGGTGGAGTCTCAAGAATCAAATGGATTCTAAATGGTTCGGATTACGGGTAAGTAGAAGGAGCCTATCAGCTCTGCATGCCGAGATGGAAGGCCTATTGTGGACAGTCTCATGTATGAGAGATTTGAGGATATTTTCGATACGGATTGAGACAAACTGCTCGGACCTAGTGGACATGTCTACTAGACTGGAGGACTAGCCGGCTTTCGCGACTGGAGACCGAGGTGTTTCAGCGACTACGCGAGCATTTCGAGGATGTGAGTCTGTCTCATATTCCGCAGAGTAGAAATGGATGAGCGGATGCACTAGCTAAAGAAGTAAGGAGTAGAGGCTATTCATTTTCCCATATAGATCAGACCCGACCAGATGGAGTTTCTCTTCGGATAATCGAATCGATTGGTCACCACTTGATCTAGAGTAAATGAACGGCTGATAAAAAAAAGTATGACTGGTATTATTAGCGTAAATTAGTAAAAATAAATAGTGAGAAAGAGTGAAAATAAAAATGATGGGAAGGAGTGAAAAGGAAAAAAGTATTTGTACTCCAGTAGAATGTAGGGTAAATTCGAGTCTCTGTTTTTTTTCTATCTAAATAGTGGACAGTAAAAGTTCAAAAAATATATTCCACTTGACTGTCAAGATTTTAGTGGGATTTGGAGAAAAATGAAAATAAATTTACTCTAAAAAGGATTTCCAGACACACTCAAAGCTTCTTGAAAAGGATCCGATTTTTTTTCCTTCATTACAAAATACAACCGAATAATAATAATATCTAAGTAACAAACTAGAAACAAAATTTTGAATTAATCTCCGACAAACAAGTGATTTACATCATGAAAAAACTTTCTTCCTACATTTACATCATGAAAAACTTTCTTCCCACACTATATTGGTCAATCCTAGAATCCATCTTTGCTTTTCGTTTTATATCAATGGTGATAAGCTCTTGAAATCTTTAGTCTTCTCACGCTAGACAAGAACATCCTATAGAATAATCAGTTAACCCCATTAGAGTACTTCTAAATTATTAATCAAAACTGCAATGTGATTCATTAAATTAAATATAATAAATAGGAAAAGTACTTACTCCCAAGGAACATCTCCAACCATAATCCAGTCACCATCCTTGTCTGCATACGTTAGCACATGAGTCTTCTCACTACATATCTCTTCTTCTTCAGCCCCTGTTTAAATTTTTATTAACAGTTTAATAAATCAGTGCACAAAAAAAATAATTAACAGTCTAATAAACCATTATATTTCTCCTGTTATGGTTACATGTAAAATATTTATATAGGTAGAATTGATATGTTGTAAGATATCCTATTCTTTAGCAAAAAAAAAGAGCTAAAACACAAACGATATGTATAATTATTTTGAGTTAATCAAGAAGATTTATGTCATGGGTGCACTTTGCATAGTAAAAGAAAATACAGCACAAGGGGGGCATTGAACCTGGTTTATTCATGGGTGCATAAGCTAACATTTACCATCTAATCCAACAACTTTTAATGTTCTCTTTAACAAAATTTAAAGTTCAAACATTATTGTGTGTGCACAGGACCCCATAGTTCATAAGCTGGCTTCGCCACTGGTTCCTTATATCATTTACGGAACCCTCTAAACAAAGTCTACAAAATGGGTTTTGCTCTACATTCAAAGATATATATGTACGTAATTCTTACATAGGATTGAGGCGTTGAACATGTAACCGAGAGTTGTGATCAAATCGTGGTATCCATCAAAAGAAAATAGATCGATCTTTCTTCCAATAGGAACTCCTTCCATGTTCACCTTCACGTAGAAGTTTCCGAGACTGTTACACTCGTTTTGATCTTCTTCTTCCATGATCATTTCATGATCAGCTGCAACAACTCCATATTCATCATGATTTTCTCCACCGTTGAAATATTGTCCTGACGATGAACCGAAGCTGAGTCCAAGCCTCAGGTCAGTGCTTAGGTTCCGGGTATTACTCGAAGAGACACCAAATGGGTTGCTTTTGCAGCTACTTTCTATCGATGAAGACGGTGAGCTTCTTCTTCTTCCCATTTTTTCTTACTATTTCTTTCTTTATCTATGATTTTTAAGTAAAGATGTGATTATTGATTTGAACATGTGTGTGTATATATAGAGGAGGATTCTTCAATATAATTTAAAACATTATTCCAAGAAGAAGAAGAATTGATATGGTCTTGCTGATTTTTAGTATAATAAAAATGGAGATGGTGGAATGATGCGACAGTGTGGTTAAAGATGTTGCTGATGTAGCCGACAAGTATACGTGTCAACCAGACATTTGGTCAAAGTGTTGGTTTCGACTTTGTGCTCGGAATTTTTTGCTGGGTGTGTTCTAATTAATTTGTATTGTTTCAAGTTTAATACTCCACTCCTAGTACTTGATATCATATACTTCTAGTACTAGAAATATATATTTCATCATAAAAAAAAAACAAATTCTTTCCTTAGGGTCATTATCGCTCAGTTTCTTAATTTTTTGTTTTTTTTCTTTTTGTCTATTTAAAAAAAAAGAAGAATTTTGAATCATCATGTATTGTAAACCCACGAAACAGTGTAAAAAACGCAGAGAGAACGTTTCTTATATAGGGACTTTTGTTATGGGTTTTATCAAATTTGCGGACCCCTCAAACCATCGAAAGGACTAATACTCCATTGAAGTTCTTGTTGAAGTGGCATAGTTTCATTCATACTATGCTAACTAGAAATAAAATGTAAGGCTAGATGTAAGGAGTAAGCTTGAAGTAGACAAGAAATACATGTTCTAACCGGATAAGAACATTGGTTCTTGGAAAAGATATAGAACAAAGTACATTGAAAATTTTAAATATCACAGGTTACTTATTTGAGTCCGTATTAAATCAAGTTCAGTGAGGTAGTTCAAAAACAAAATGAAGTTCAATGCATGAGATTATCGTGATTCGTAACGCGCATTGATGCATTCGTGGGTTCGACAAACACCATTCCAAATTGAGGGTTTTTTTACAACCGCGAGACACTTTTTAAAAATAATTATTCTATTAGCATAAACTAGAATGCTTGTTTAATTGTATATCAGTTGTTAAGCACGTCTCATTTACGTCACTAAAACTTCTAGTTATGTTTAATTTAATTATAAAATAGCCTAAGTGGACTACATCGTATTCTAGCCAGCATGACATGAGTTTGAGCCTCACATTATTCTAATCCACGTCGCTTTGAGTTACACACTTTTAGTAAAATTAATTTGAGGTGGAGTCATTCAATCATCTGATTATTACTTTAACATAAAGCAAATACACAAGTCCACAACCAAAACCATATATTATACTATTTTTACCAAGAAAAACATATACTATTTTCAATACTAAATCCAACAGTTTTTCAGTAAAATTAAAGTGAATCAATCGATGCTTCTACAAAAATATATCAAAAAAGGTATAGCTTGTGTCTATAATCTCTCTGTGCCTTAAACCAAAACACCTCAAATTAATTATCAATCTGATTCTAGGTGCTCTCCTTAGTAACTTAGAAACACATATATAGTCTTTTCTATTGATTACTAAATTAATATTGGTCCTAAGAAAGTTGCATGTTCCTTGTTTTTATACATTACATGTAATAATTAGAAACACAAAGGTTATGAATGGAGACGTATACTTTGCGGTTTTTAGTGCGTTTTTTGCAAAACCGCCAATAAATCACCCTTCACAATGTTACTATAAACTTGTGCGGTTTAAAAAGGAAGAAAAACAAAATCACACTTTATCAAAATATACATGAGATAGTATAATAACATAGTTGAAAACGTACCGTTCATATGGCTAGAGTTTTTCAAAATAATGCTCTAGATAACAAACTTTTCTAAAAAAAAAAAAACTTTTCTAAACGATATATGTTGTAGATATTGCATATTATAAAGCATCTCACTAAAATTTGTATTTCATATTATTTAGATATTTTGTTTCAAAAACTGATAAATATAGCTAGCATTATACTTCTTAGAAATATTTTTATTAAATTACTAAATTAACTCTAGTAATATATATATATATATATATATATTCTGTTATACCATATTATAATTAAATTTGACCATTTTTATTCAAACCGAACCTAAATCTAAATCCAGATAGATATCAAGTACTAGGACCCAAACTGAATTTAAACCTGAATAGATATTTAATTTTTGTAAAAAAAAAAATCTAAATTTAATATAAGTAAGTATCCAGAAATACTCAAAAATCTCGATAAATTTTATAATATGTAGCTTTAATTTTATTTAGTTGTACATTTCAGTTTTATAAGTTATCTATTTTTTTAGATTTTTAAATTTAAAAGTAATTCTGAATTTTAGGTTTTCATGTTATATAGTATTTTTAAATTTTCTATTTGAGTAACACTATTTTGTTTATCAAAACCATACCATTTATTAAAACAGAAATATTTTTTTGTAAATTGTATGAACTGCAATTGTACCATACCAAATTTTAATTTCTCACATTTATATCAAGAAAAATCGCGTTAGGACTAAAAAAAGAATTCGATATTTTTAAAAATATAAAATGAGAGAAGGGAGGCAAGCATGCATGATGATGGATGGGTAATGAATGCGTAACCTTAAAGAGATGAGCTAATGAAAGATGCTTCACCTATGGATGGACTTAAGGAGACGTCACAATTCACCTCACACACTTGAAAACATATTTTTGCAAGCACGAGAAATGTTAGACGACACAATGCCCGTAGAACTGTAGAAGACAACATTTTCACATTCCCCACGTCACATGCCTTTTTCCAGGTGCTTCTCACTTTTGTCGTCTTCATTCACTTCTACAAATTTTTTTTAATCAGTCCTTAAGAGCAATATTATCAAGGATCCCTTAGTATTATCCCTTAGCGAGAAAAGTCTCTTAGCTTTTAACTAAAAACGCTAAGGGACATCCGTAAAGTCCCTTATTATCAATGCTAAGGGACCCTTGATAATATTGCTCTTAAGGACTGATTAAAGAAAATTTGTAGAAGTGAATGAAGACGACAAAAGTGAGTACGGATGTCCCTTAGCGTTTTTAGTTAAAAGCTAAGGGACTTTCCCGCTAAGGAACAATGCTAAGGGACCCTTGATAATGTTGCTCAAGTTTCTTCATGATCAGTCAAGATAACAAGAAAAGTCTTTTTTTCATTTTGTGATTGAAGGATTTGTAACCGAAATTCATGGTATTCTCCAAATTCCTTTTGGCATCAAACGAAGTTTTGTTTTCGGTTTTTTTTTGTCACTATTAACGGTTTTCTTAATTCAAAGGGATTTTACGGATGTCCTTTAACGTTTTTAGTTAAAAGTTAAGGGACTTTCCCGCTAAGGAACAATGCTAAGGGACCCTTGATAATGTTGCTCAAGTTTCTTCATGACCAGTCAAGATAACAAGAAAAGTCTTTTTTTTTCATTTTGTGATTGAAGGATTTGTAACCGTAATTCATGGTATTCTCCAAAATCCTTTTGGCATCAAACGAAGTTTTATTTTCGGTTTTTTTTTGTCACTATTAACGGTTTTCTTAATTCGAATAGGGTCTGTGATTGTTTAAGAGATTGTTATTGCATAGGCATCAAGAAGTTGAATCCTAATCTTTTCATTTTAAAAATCATCCCATCAAGTGCATCTTTAATGAAAAAACCATCTAAAATTTCTAAATAATATATTAAACGATCAAGACTCCACCCCGTCTCCTCTGTTGTTGTTTCTCTCTTGGTTCAAAGTATGAGTCCATGCATTTGCTAGCTAATACTAAATCTTAAAGACCCATATATATATATCAATTATTGACTTTTGGTTTGTTTGAAGTAATATATCAAATATTGTGGCTGTCAATAAATCAGAATTAAGCATACACATTAAGTTAATACAAATGGTTTGAACCTAAAACATTCAAACAATGTCTTTATCACATTAACCGACATTAACTGCGATGATACCGTTTCGTTTGAAGAAGCAATGAGATAAACAGAAGAAAAGGACAGAAAAAGATTAGCTTAAACCAAAAGAAACTCTACAACCATGATGTAAAGTGATAGAAGAAAAAAGGGGAGAAGATAAAGAACATATATGTTCCCCACCACGCCTACCATTACCATCACCATTCTTCACTTTTTCTCTCTTTCTTTCTTTCTTCTTCAAACTTTTCTCTACACCGTTCTTTGTTTTTCGTCTGTGTGCTAACTGCTAAAATACACCATTCTTTGTCCCCTATACTTTTTATATCTATCTTTGACAGCCTCTTTCTTCTAGATTACCAATATGCATGTTGCACAATTTGGTCAGTGTTTTTCGTGGGTTCTGATACAACGTATGAATATTTCAAAAAAGGATTAAAACATCAAGATCATATCTAAGCAAAGCTTTCTATAAAAAGGTGATATAAAGAATTTCTTTCAAATTTTAGCAAATTAAATAACAGTTCTAAAATAAATCAAACATGCAGATTTATAGAACAAAAAATACTACGAAAAGATAACAAAGGGAATATGTTCATTGTATAGAAACTCATTTCAAAAGGAAAATAGTGACTCTCAATTTTAGGGCACTCATTTTTTAGCTTCAAGATTGAATGATAATGTCTTGTCCTTTTATAAATCATTAAGTTGTAATAGAATATTCAAACCTCTTTTTTTTAGAACAAAGTAATAATTTTTTTTTTGTTATATAGTAAATTATAATAATTCGACTTTACTGCAATGTGTTTGCTTGTCAGTAAAATCATGGGGTGGCTTCAACTCAAGGATGATTGAATGTCTCGTGACTCTTTGGAGCCTCTTGCTGGCCAACTCATTTCATTTTCCCCGTTTACGCTTTTTCCTTTATTGTCACATAGTTGACCATAGAAACATTCAAGATCAATTATTACATATCCATAGATAATTAAAATATACAGTGGAGAATGCCCCAATCGCCATGGCTAATAGGTTACCTACGCCTATTCATTCGGTTGGTGGATCTTTTTCCATGCGACAGGCAATGCATTAATTTTTTCTAATGTTCGAGAGATTTGTTTACTGTTTATGCAATAACCACATGATTTTTTTCCGTGTTTTACATTTACTCACACGATATCATGAATGAGTTTTCGGTAGGTCATCCATTCTTTCACTACTTTAGTTAAATCACGTTTAATTCTAGTGTTTTAAATGGATGTGTAGCTAAAAATGTAAGTACATTTTGATGATATATAGATAGCCAAATCAGTTCTCATAAATTTTTTCACATATAGCACAAATCAAAATGGTATGGTTCTGCACAAGTACTCTACTATCTATATATTGTTAGGTTTGAAACCATTTATTAAACCGCATTTTTTATACATATTCTTATGTAGATAAAATTATACAATTATGTAGTTGTAATCAATAAATGCAGTTACACTTAATCACTCTTAAGTCGTAACAATCCATCTGAGGGTTTAAGATGACTTTTTTGTTGGATGTACCCAAAAAAGGTACATCCATTTCCCCTTAAAACCGAGTGAAACATGTTTTCTTAAAACACAATTCAAAGTTTACAAAACAGAGGGAGATTTAGATTTGGTCTCTAAAGTAGCTAGGAGGGCAATCTAGTTAGGTATTAGTAATGTTTTTTCATTTATATAATATTTGAGTTTGTTGAAGCTTCTTAAAGCAAAGATACGAGGTATGTGCGTGCGTGTTTATATTGAGGTGTTATGTGTGTGCCTTTTTAAAGAACTACTGACTATATTATATTTCAACTATTTTGATTTTAGATTAGGCACTAACCCCCTGATTGATCGGGCCTCTTTTGTCTTTTTTTTCGTTTTATGCTCTTTATTAATTCCGAAATCTTAAAACGTGACAAGATATGTGTTTAGTGCGTACTCCAAAATCAGAATTTTGTGGACACACTGGAGCTACGATAATTATTTATTTTAAGCTCTTCCAGTTACAATTTTCATGTTTCCCATGCAAAATTGCGTCAATAAACTATACGATTGGGTCCACTAATCAATCAATATTACTCTGCGTTTTCGTTTGAGACTTGTATCGAAAGTCACCTCCGCAATGATCTTATATACTGTAGATTTATAAGTCCAGCATAATATATACTTATATATAGTATAACCATGAGTTTTTATTTCTTATTTTTTTTCTTTCTCTTTGTGATATATTCTGTTCTGCGTACATGGATTTGATTACTAACTTAGATTCGACACTTGAATCAAATGGTTATATAAAAGTTGAGCTATGAAAGAATAAGGTCTCCCTATAACTACTGAACTAAGAATATGAGGACGAGTGTTGTCAACACTAGAGGGACCAGAGAGGCTCTAAAAACAAGAAAACAAAACCTCGAAGAAGAAGCTGAGATCTCTAGAGCTGTTGGATCAACAATCCAATCTACACCTCTTTGATTAACACTGCACAAAGAATATATATACATATAGGATAAACATAATCTTTGAAAGAAAGCTTATTCCAATCTAAAACAATGTCAACACAATTATAAATTATGACCTGAATCAATAAATAAAATGGCTCTTTTATGAGAGTTACATGAATGTTACAGATTTGGAGTTTACAATAAATAAGAAAGCAATTTCAAGCAGTGATTAAATAAGTTTGAAAGAATCAGATGGGTTTCAGAGATTAACTCACTCGAAAATCAGATTGTGACAAGTTTTGTCACATGGGTAAGCACAGTCGATGGCTTTGACATTTTTGGCTCGGTGGAAGTACCAGTCACCTACACTCTCTGCAACTCTCTGCTAACAAAAGACAATCATGAGCAGGAGTTTAATAACCTCTGTATGAATGGTTTCTCTGAGGGGTGACATTACCTTTCCGTTAAGTTGGGGAGAATCTTGCGCAAACCAAGTGTCCTGTCTTTCAGTCTGACAATGGGCGAAGCAAGAATTTATGAAAAGACCGTTCTGGTCTGATGTGGAGAATGACTTTACGGCAAACAGCATTTGGTTCCTGAATTCTATTTGATGTAAGAAAGATATAAGGTATTAGAAACCATCAGCATGGTGCAGGCTCAGCATAGAGTAGAGAAGAGTGACCTTGGAAGAATTGGATCTGTGATGAGTTACATTGCGAGTGATCTGATTTGCATGCCTTCCAGATGCCACCTGGGTCAGCAGTTGGAGGAGCTAAGCTCTCTTGGATCTGTTAGAGAAAGTTTAATATTGATAATGTTTTTCTCAAGAATCAAAAGGAGTGCTAACAAGAGCATCACCTGCCACGAGTCATATGCTGTGTTGAGAAGAAACATTGGGGTTTTGATGTCTGAAACCAAGTTCTGAGGAAAGAAGCACTGAGGAAACGAGAAAAGGCATAAAAGATTCTCTCAAGGCCTTGTCTACTGGTAACTTTTTTGATCAAACAGTGATATTAAGTGTAGGTGAAAGAGATGTACCGAGGTAGGATCCAAATGGTTTGTACAAGTACTGGACAAGCCCTTCTGGAGGTTCTGTAAATCAACACAAAAAAAAGTATCAAGTAGCATATGATAATGTTAAGTTGCTTGCACTTTATTCACGCCTGTTTCAAAAAAAAAAAAAACAAAAGTGAATCTGAGATTACCTGCACTGTAACAACGCCTTGGAACATATTCCTGAGTGAGTGGCCCCCAGAGACATCCACGCTGCATTTTCCATCATAGCATTTCAAGTTTATAGAGAAAATAATACTTGTCCTAAAAAAAACAAAACAAAACAAAAAGCAAAAAGTTGAAGAAATTTACGCGTCTAGAAACATTCCAGCATCACTTAAGCACTTGACTTTTGTGGAACTAGGTAACAGGTCTCTGAACTCATCACAGTGCAAGATGGAAGCTAATCCTCCGGCTGAGCATCCAGAAAGCAGAGCCTGTGAATAATAATCAGTTAGATAAAAAGATGAAGAGAATATAAGCGGAATGAAATGTAAAAGACCTGATTTGCTTGCTGCATGCCTAAAGACAAGAACTCTTCCATAGCGGCTTGCCAAATCCGTTGTCCTCGATAGAAAATTTTGGAACTCTAGAAACAAGCCATTTGCAACAAACTATAAGAAAAAAGTTGCATAGATTATGAACCAAAAATTCATTCTTGTCTGTCTGACTAACCTCGTCCTGACTATCCCCAGCGAAAGACGCACCATCACAGTAACGCAACTTGATCCTGTTCCAGTTAAAGAAGTCTACAAAAGCCACCGACAGAATCAATATAGCAGTGAGCATTTATAAACTCATGATGATGGTATTATAGAGTAACAAACCAGGATTCTCCTGAGGTTTATCGCTCAAAATTCCAGTAAAAGGCAAAGTCTTTTCCATGAAATTAGAGGATCCACGACGACTTGTTTTGCGATACACACAGCTCCTATGGTTGTTACACCATCCCCCACCCTAGCACACCAGCCAAAATTCCATTATAAAAATAAATAAAATAAATAAAAAATCGACTTTCTAAAAATTAGCAACAAGTGAAGCTCCCAATACCTCAAGTTGGATAAGCCAATTGTTAGCACCAGAACCAAAACCACGATGTAGATGATAACCAGGTAGCGTCCCATCCAAGCACACTGCATCAATATAAGCACTATTCCATGAATGTGAATCTACCAAAAATCGAGCTCTAAAACAACGAAAGAGAGAGAGAGTGTGTACTACCAGCTCCTTTGGCGCCAGCTTCTTGAATCAAGGTTAGAGGGACCATGGTGACCTCAGGCGCCACCAGTTTGTTCTCCGTTAGCGAAATCGTAGTCTCGGTGTCTCCATCACTAGATCCGCTCCGAACAACCACCGCGACTGAACATAGCGAGTACACAATCAGCAACAACACGCTCCTCATCTCCTTCGCCGAGCTACGGCGAGCTTAGGGGAATGCAGCTCGAGCGAGCGCGAAAACTTGGATTAAAAGATTGATTTCGATTTGTTTGTTAGTCTAATTCACACACTAGTGCATGAAGAGACAGACACAAATAAAAATTCAAAATGATTTTATTGTAAAGGAGAAAAGAAAAATAAAAAAGAGTAAAGCAGATGAAGCTTTTATACACGCGCTTCCATTTTGTAATAATTATGTTCCGTCACGTTGTAATTGTTTTGTTTAAATTAATTAATGTATAAAGCATGTATCTATTTCCGTATTTGCTTATTTATTAGGAATACTTTCATACGTTTGTTTGATTTGTTTTTTGCTCACTGTTAACTTTTTAGATTTGACAATTCACTCTTTTAAAATGTCTAACCCACAAAGTTTATGGAAAACAACGGAAAAATACTGTTAATTCTCCTTACAAAATAATGTTAAATGTATAGCCACTTATTTACAAAAGAAAAGTAAATTTTTGTAAACAAATTTTAAAATACATTTCTAAGACACATAATTTGAACTTTTTCTCAGTGGGCATTTTATTAGATTATACCTAATCCCTGATTTCTTACTATTAATATCATGACAGGTGCATGTTTTTATGGTCAGATGTTCCTCCTCTTTTGTCGAAATCTTATATATTTATACTATTAATCTTATTGAATGTAATAAATGTAAAATATGCTTAGATGTTCTTCATCTTTTGGCGCATGTTAAGATTTCTTCTAATCTTCAACGACCGTTTCCTTCATTTCCTTAATTGGTAATTTAACAGACACATCATTTTTGCAATTATTGATGACTCAGCAAATACATTATACCAAATTCAGTATATTTGTATTTTGACAAATACTTAGAATTCAAATATAAAATGTTTAGATGTTTTCACATAAATCATGAAACCAGATTAAAGCTGCTATTTTGAGGCAGAAATTGAAGATGTATGGTGCAGACAAAACTGAAGTAGTTCAAGGACGGAGCTGAAGTAGTTCATGAAGCACGACATAAACTACTAAATGAAATGTGGAGTCGAGAGCTGAGCAAGAAAAAAGGAAGAAGCCTTTAATAAAGATGTGAGGATATTTATCAAGGCGTGGGCTTTAAGGAAAAAGGAGTGAAAAATAAGCAACCGTTGAAGAAAAGAAGAAGGTTGTCTTATTCGCTGAAACAGAAAAATGGAAAGTTTCCATTGGGTAGTTTTAGGGTTTTTCTCTCTAGGTATAAAGAGAGAGTCGACTAGGTTGTAGTCGACTAACACACTGGATGATATTCTAGCAAGTTAGAGTTTTGTGAAACCGAGCAAGGTAGACAAAATACTTTAAGAGTTAGAAGCAATTCATCGACTAGGGTAAGTCGTGAATTGATTGGACTAGTCAACAAGTCAAGTTGTTCTTGAGCTGTGTTGAGAATCGCTTTTCAAAAGAACTTGTATGTGCTTTTAAAAGGATTTATCTAGTCGTATTTTTCTTGGAAAAAATAACTCTTGAATTACTGTGTGTTCTAGTTTATGTACTACTAATCTTGCGCTTTCAATTGGTATCAGAGTGGGTTACCTAAGTTACTGGTGAGATCATGGAGGATGAGGACGAAATATGGTTCAGGAAGAAGGACAGAGTTTGTATGAAGACCGATGAAGATGGTGTCATGAGATTTCTTCTCTGTTTTGGAAGGTGGTGATCTTCGAGTTGGTTTTTGACCATGATGTGACTCATAGGGGGAGATTGAAGACGTGGCTTTCAAGCTCGTTATGATGAGTGCACATGCATAGTCAAAAAGGGGGAGATTAAAGATGCAATTTGCAGAGGTGTTATGTGTTAGTTCGTGACGTACTACAGGAGGTAGTACATGTGTGTGTCATGAAGATGAGCTATGCTGGAGTTCGTGTTTCTTGATGAGCGTGGGCTTGCTGGGATTGGAAAAGGAAAGAAGATATGTGTTTGAAGACATATGGACGTTTTCCATAAAGCAAAAGGAAGTTTGCTTGAAGGTGAAGTTTTCCATTAAAGATATGGAAAGTTACCTTATGTGTATTGGAAAAACTTGGAGAGCAAGTGGAAGACTTGGAGAGCGAGTTAAAGACGTGGAGAGCAAGTTCTGGTATGATATATAAGGAGGGTCTTGCCTTATGAGAAAGCCAGACCTCATAGAAGAGAGAGAGAGGTTTCCTTGGTGTGTGTTACTGCTTGGTGTCGAAGCAGTGTCTGAAGTAGTTTCCGATGGAGTCTGATGTGGACTTAGTTTGGTGCCCTTGGTGTTGGTGTTTTGTGTGGTGGAGTTAGCCATCGTGTGTAGCTCGTGGTGAGCGTGTGGTGCGTTGGAGATGACGTGCTCGTTGTGTCACTGGTGTGCGTTGTATGCTGACGTACTTGGTGAAGTACTTCCGAGAAGTGGAAGATTGAAGTCTAGACTCAGGAGGAGTTTAGCAAGGGCGGTTTTATTGAAGAGGTCTGTGAAGATTGCAGCTGTAGAAGACAGTGTGCTTTGACGTGCCCGGATGGTGTTGTATGCATGAGTGCTGATACCTAATCTTTGTAGATTACTTCTTAGAAAAGAGTGGTAAACACTAGTGTGTGTGTGTTGTACCATATAGCAATTGTAGGTTGCTCCTTGTTCTAAGTCAATAAAATCTGGACGAGGTCCCGGGAATGTAGGAAACGAACCCCATTAACAAATTTGATGTGTCTTACTTTTTGCACTATGTTTTTTGTCGCCTCATCTACATCAACAGAAATTTGCCATCAACGTTTGGCTACGCAACCAGTAAAGTCTCCGATTAGGTTATCCACCTTCGTTGATGATTTTTTTTTAATATTCTTTGTTCAACTACTTACGATAAATTTACACCATTTTATGTTTATATATATGGTAGTCAAACTCAGATTATAAGTAATATAAAAGTTAATTTATAGATAAATTTATTATTTTTGTAAATGTGACGATTTTATTTAAATAAAAGAGTTTCTTAATATAAAACCGCATAACATTCCTAACATTCGATTTACACTTTATTATCAAAAGACATTCGATTTACACTTCTTCCTTTTACTTATTTTTTTTCTTGGCATCTCCTTTTGCTTATTCTAACTCAAACTTATCGACGTTGTCAACTTCGAACAAAAACATAATAATAATTTAGGTTAATAATTTACAAAAAAAAAAGCATAACAATGTTAAATAACCAAATATTATGTGATAATGTATTTTATAAATATTAGCCAATTCCTTCACATTGATCATAAGTTTTCTCTCTCGCTCTTGTCTGTCGCATCTTCCAATAAGTAATAACTCTCTTACTCTTATTCTCCTTCATTAGATTGAAGATGGATGAATTTGGAGCTAATAAATGCGAGTGTTTGTTCTTTGGTAATACATACATAAACACATCATCTTACACATTACCCCTGTTCGTTTCTTCATCGCGCGTCCAGCCGCAGCGTCAGGTAATTAAGCCATTCATCCAGCAACATACAACACTGGTGATCCGTTTTTCCGCCGCTGCGGCAGCTAACCACAAACAAAAACGACACCGACACGGACGCAGAAAATATCAGCGTCACTGGCATCACGTCTTGTACATCTCCAACAATCAATCAGAGCCAGTCCTAACTTTTATAAGGCCACAAACCCAAACAAAAAAAAGGTCACCAAAAATTAAACTGCACAGATGACTGACGTCAAACCCAGCCTCCGATGTAGTAATACTACACAACATGTCACTAGACCACAGATAAGTTTTGAAAAAATGTGACTGGATTAATACTTATTAGAATGGCGGCCGCGAGCCCATGTTTCATTCGCTTGGGTCTAGGACCGGCTCTGCAATCAATCGGCGGCTCTGTTAACTTTCCATTCTCTTTTTTTTTGGTGTCTGTCACCGTATGATTTTAAACGCTGCCGCTTAAAGCAGCGACAATGAAACGAACAGGGGTATTGTTTTTTTTTTTTGTGAACGATTACACATTGTTTTCTTTCTTTTTTTGAACTAAAACACATTGTTTTCTTCTCCATGCAGTTTCTGAAAAGTAATGAAAAAACTATGTTTTGTTGATGTTGTTGTTGCGGATATGGACGATACTTTTTAGTTTTTACCCTTCGAGCATAAGAATTAACTTACCTTGTCGAAACAACATCCAAGGTAAAGAGACTAACGTTTTCAAGATTGATTGAAGCTTTGGATAAACTCTATTAATTATTCGACTGTTTCTTATCTTTTTCTTATGTGCATAGTTCATGCTTAACCAACTCGGAATATTAAAAAAAAAAACTCGGAATCAAAGAGAGTGATGCTCTAAAGATGTGTCTTGTTCTTTACAAAGAATATGGATGGAACCACCATGGCTGGTCTCAAGGTATATGAACCTCTCATCCTTTCATAATAGTTCTTGGACCTATAAGGAAGACATAACCGTGTGTTTACAAGTTATGGATTCGATAACGAGTTCCATGGATATGTGCATGGAAGACTTCCATACGAAAAACTAAAGTCTGATCCCGTTCTCCGTAGCCTTCTTCTCTCTATGTCTGACCGTAAAATTAGTAAGCTTCCTCCACGTTGCTTTTTGCTCATAAATCACCATTGGTTTCTTTCTTCTCATCCTCTGTTTTTTCTTTCCACCAGATCTTTACTAATGCAACACGAACTCTTAAAAGACTGGGTCTATAGGACTGCTTTGAAGGCATCATCTGCTTCGAAACACTAAAACATTTCTTCTGAGTCAAATACTCAAATCATCTGTAAATCCTCTGTTGAAGTCTTTGAAGGCAGCCATTCGCATTGCAGACATCGTTGATCCACGCAAAGTGGTAAAAGAAAAGGCACAAGAATCTTATCACAGTTTGAGACACAGAAGAATCTTTTCGATGACAGTGTTCGTAACATCGCTAGTGATAAAGTAACAGGGCTAAAAACCGTGTTCGTGGGCGACTCGGTTATGTGAAGACAAAGATGATAAGCTCGAGCCAATCGTTCAGCATGCCGCGGTTGCAACCATGGCTCAAGCTTAAAGATAAAACTCTAACAGGGGAACCTTATTGTACTATTTAAGTCATGCATCCAAAATAAAGAAACAAACGACCACAACTTAGAAAATCTTTGGCTTCTCGATGATTTTGGATTCCTCATAACAAAAAAAAAAAGAAACAGAACAAAGAGATCCACCGTTTATCAAGCTTCCAATGGGAGCTCTCCGCAGGCATAGATTCTGCAAGCTTTCTTTGGAACATCCATGGCGCGTGTCTCCTGAGATTCAAGTCTCCTCACAAGCTTCATACCTTCAATGACTTGTCCAAACACAACATGCTTCCCATCTAACCATGGAGTCTATACAAAACAAATAATAAAACTTTGTGAATAAAAAGATTTATATAAGTCTTCTAACAGATGATATGAAGAGTTGTTGAATCTTTAAACCTTGACGGTGCAAATGAAAAACTGACTTCCATTAGTGTTAGGACCAGCGTTAGCCATGCTCAAGATTCCAGGTCCAGTATGCTTCACTGTAAACATCATCAACCCAGTAAAATACTACATTTATGGAAAAAACAGAATGCTTTCTTTGTTAGTAAATAAATATACTCACGGTTGAAGTTTTCATCTTCAAATTTGGCACCGTAAATACTAATACCTCCAGTACCCTGTGAGACCATATCGACAATTCAGAAAGAAACATCACAAGTGACGTCATAAACAAACAAAGAAAGATAAAAAAACATACATTTCCCTCAGTGAAATCACCTCCTTGGATCATAAAGTCCTTAATGATACGGTGAAAGGAAGAACCTTTGTACCCGTACTTCTTCTCACCTGATGAAATCAAGTTCCTCTTAGTCACACAGTGCTTTTTCTTTAATCTACAAAGTTACCAACTTTAAGTTCTTACCAGTACACAAGGCACGGAAGTTGTCAACGGTTTTTGGGACAACATCACCAAACAGACCCATCACAATCCTTCCAGCGACTTCACCTCCAATTTCCACATCAAAGTAAACCTTGTTTGTCACTTTAGCTTGAGGAGGTGCTAGCACTTCTTCTTCTTCCTCCTCCTACTCAACACAAATCCATAAGCAACTGATTATATGACAAAGTTAGGGGGTTTTTTTTCAAATCTTACAGCAGCCATTGATTTAACACAAGCTGTTCTCTGGAGCTTGGTGGTGGCATAAGCTCCGGAGAATTGCTTAAGAGGGGAACTTGCTGCGTAGTGTAGCCTTGAAGAGAGTGCGAAACCAGAGGAACGAGCTCCGAAGCGAAGTGATTGAGATGTTCGATTTGCGGAAGCTAGCTGCGACTTCACACCAATCTAAAGAGAAACCAAGCAAAGGACTTTAAGACAGGACAGTGTAACTTGATGACAAAGACTTCAACCCATTAAACCTAAAGCTTAGTTTCTCGCGACGAAAATCGAGAACACAAATCTGTAACATGTAGGATTGGAGTTTCGAACCTGAGTGACGGTGCAAGAAGTGTGAACCATCTGCAATGGAGACGAAGAAGCCATTGATTGGTTGGTGCTGTGAACGTAGACTGAAGAAGAGGAGGATGAGTTTGGGTGTGATTGTGTTTGCTTTCAGACAAGAGTGTCTACTTCCAGATAAGAAAAAAGAAGAAACCGCCTCTCGAGCTTTGTTTTTAAGGGTAAAAGCGACTGTGGTTTGGTGATATCCTTAACATCTCACGCTAACTTACGCTACAGTGAGTATAACAACTGGGCCTATTTAAATTAAACCTACTTGGTACAGCCCAATAAGATCACAGACTGAACGGATCTTGGTTCTTGTCTGGTCTGTGACCAATGCCCAAATGTTCCTAATTTATTTTGGTTAATTAATATGAAGATTAAAATCCCAATATTTACCACTTAGTCACTTTGATGCGTACTGCAATCTCAAAAACAATGATGCAAATACAGGGGAACGAATCAAAGAGTTATGACACGGAAGACCATAATCAACACATTAAAAATCACTAAAAGGAATGTTAAAGTAGATTGATTAAAGCATCTAATAGTTCCATAGAGGATTTCTTTTTTTTTCCAAGAAAAAGAAAAAGAAACTACACTACTTTTGTTGAAACTATAAGAGAAACACTTTGTATAAGAATGAAGTTTAGAATAACTCTCTTTTATTAATCTCTTTCAAGGATAAAACTCACTCAAAACCTTGAAACCCTCAAACTCATACAATCCACCATTACTCGATGGGTGTATATATATTGCTAACTGAGATCCTAAAATCTAGTAGATAAACTCAAATGTAAATGAATATCTCCTAAACAAACTNAACCTTGAAACCCTCAAACTCATACAATCCACCATTACTCGATGGGTGTATATATATTGCTAACTGAGATCCTAAAATCTAGTAGATAAACTCAAATGTAAATGAATATCTCCTAAACAAACTCATCTTTATCTTAAAACTTCTCCAATAAAGTAGGATCTCTTTAGCTTGCTCCGCAAGTCTCTAGTCTTGTCTCAATAACTTCAAGCTTACATCAACATTGCCTCCCTTAAGCTTGAAGTTAACTTGTGATACATCCAGAACTCCTATGAACTCCCTCATCTGTGTGAACCTGAGCCTCCCAAGTCCTTTGGTCAAAATATCCGCCTTCTGCTTGTCTCCGGGGATGTACTCAACATCCACCAGTCCATTCTCAATGCATTCTCTGATGAAGTGATACCTCTTGTGAATATGCTTAGAACGTCCATGGAACACTGGGGTTTTAGTGAGAGATATTGCTGATTTGTTGTCTGCTCGAATGGTAACTCTCTTGCTTTCACCACCAACTAGTTCGCTTAACAAATCTTTAAGCCATATTGCTTGCTTTGCTGCCTCAGTAGCAGCCATAAACTCGGCTTCGCAAGAAGATAACGCCACACTCTCTTGCTTCATTGAACACCAAGTAATAGGACTTTCTCCCAAATAGAACATGTACCCTGTTACACTTCTTCCATCGTCGACATCCACATTTAAGGAGCTGTCACTATAGCCCAGAAGCTTTGTCTCAGAGTCTTTCTTATAGGTGAGACCATAAGAAAGAGTACCTCGCAAGTATCTTAAGACCTGTTTCAACGCAGCTTCATGAGATTCCTTGGGGTCAACCATATATCTGCTCAAAATTCCCACACAATATGAGAGATCAGGACGAGTGTGAATCAAGTATCTCAAGCACCCAATACTTCTTCTGTACTTCTTCTCATCAACACTGTGTTCTTCAACTGCTTTTGACAGCTTCAGGTTCATCTCCATTGGTACATGAGTGGCATTGCATTCGTTCATCCCTGTTTCAAGCAGAATCCTTGAGGTATATCTCTCTTGTCTCAGTGTGATCCCATCTCCATGCTGTACCACCTCAATACCCAAGTAGTAGGTAAGTCTTCCCAAGTCACTCATCTCGAACTTAGCAGCCATTTCCCTCTTGAATTCGCTTATCATTAGTAGATCAGACCCTGTGACAAGCAAGTCATCTACGTAGACAGCTACCACAAGAATATGATCATTCTTCTTTCTCTGATATAACGAAGGTTCCTTGCTGCATCTTGTAAACTTTAGTTCCTTGAGTATCTGGTTTAGCTTGTAGTTCCAGGCTCTAGGAGCCTGCTTTAATCCATAGAGAGCCTTGGAGAGTTTATACACCATCTCTTCACTTCCTTTAACTTCAAAACCCTCTGGCTGTCTCACATAGACCTCTTCCTTAAGCTCTCCGTTGAGAAATGCAGTCTTGACGTCAAGGTGATGAATTTCCCAACTGTGAGAGGCAGCTAACGCAGTGATGAGCCTTATTGTCTCCATTCTTGCCACAGGAGCAAAGACCTCGTCATAGTCTATCCCATGTCTCTGAACATAACCTTTTGCAACAAGTCTTGCCTTGTACTTGTTAACACTTCCGTCAGGGTTACGCTTGATCTTAAATACCCATTTTAGTCCAATAGGCTTAGCTCCTGCAGGCAAATCTACCAGAGTCGAAGTGTGGTTCTTCTCAATAGACTTTAACTCATCTTCACAGGCTATCATCCAAACTTTCATCCCTTTAGCTTCAGAGAAATCCCAAGGTTCTTCATTGATATCTACAAGTAGTAGCTCATACTCGGCTTCGGCTAAAAGTATATAATCAGACAAGTACTCTGGTGTTGTTCTTACTCTCGTTGACCTTCTCAACTGGACTTGTTCTTGAGCATCACTGTCATCATCTGATATCTCTACTGGTTCACTATCATCAACTCTGTCACAGTCATCTTCTTTCTTTGCTTCATTAACAGTATCCTCCTTAGGTTCCTCACTAGACTCACTCTCTCTGAGTCCTCTGTTTCCAAACTCCCCAAGATTAATACTAAAGGAGCTTGTATCATCTTCTTTTCCACGATCATTCCAACTCCAGCCTTCCTCTTCCATGAAAACTACATCTCGACTCACAATAATCCTTCTACTAGAAGGATCATACAAACGATAAGCCTTAGTACCAGGCTCAGTTCCAAGGTGTACCAAAGCTCTTAACCTATCATCCAGCTTCTTCCTGTGTGGAGCTTCTACTCTAGTGTAACCAACACAACCGAATACTCGTAGGTGTGAAACATTGGGTTTGTTACCTTTAAAGGCCTCATATGGTGTCTTGGAATGTAGAGTTCTTGTTGCAGAGCGATTGACAAGATAGGTAACGTGCCTTACTGCTTCTCCCCACATGAAGTTTGGAACATTCATATGTTTCAAAATGCTCCTGGTCATCTCCAAAACTGTCCTATTTCGTCTCTCAACAACGCCGTTCTGCTGTGGTGAATATGGTGCTGTTAGGTGTCTGTGGATACCATTCTCCTCACAGAACTCATTGAACTCCACAGATGTAAATTCTCCCCCTCTGTCAGTACGAAATGTCTTGATGGAACTGCATGTTTCTTGTTCTATTGTCTTTTTAAACTTCTTGAATCTCTCAAAGGCTTCACTCTTTTCCTTCAGCAACATTGTCCACATGTAACAAGAATGATCATCGATTATCACAAAGATATACCTATTTTGGCCAATCGTTGGAGGGTTGATTGGACCACATAGGTCTCCATGAAGTAGTTCAAGTCTTTGTGATGCTCGAAAGCTTGTTGCTTGAGGAAAAGATCTCCTTGTTTGCTTCCCAAGTAAGCAAGAAACACAAGTACTCTTTGTGACTGTAATCTTCGGTATTCCTGTGACAAGTTCTTTCTCCACCATCAGCTGTATGTTGTCGAAGTTGATGTGGCCAAGTCTCGCATGCCATTTGCTTGAGTCATTTGATGTTATCACTTGTAAACACGAAGTAGTCTCTGCTTCCATCTCTACCTTGTACAGCCGGTTTCTGCCTCTGTTGGTTTTGATTAGTATCTTCCCATCTCTGTCAAAAATACTTAGCAGATCATCCTTCATCCTGACTTCACATCCAGCTTTCGTCGCCTGTCCCAAACTTATGATATTGCTTCTGAGAGCTGGTATAAAATACACGTCTGACATGACCTTCCTTACACCATTCTTGAAGACAAAACTGATGGAACCCTTTCCCTTTATATCGATGCGTGAATCATCACCAAACTTAACCTTTCCCGTGATTGACTCGTCTAGCGTGGTGAAGTATGATTGATCTCCAGTCATATGATTACTGGCACCGTTATCCAGATACCACAAGTTACTTCTCTCCATGGTTGTATCTAGGACATTGGTGTTTATCTTCTCTTCATTAAGGAACACCACCTCATGTAGCATCAGTTCTTTTGCCTCCTGTGTGTTCTCCTCTTTTGTTTCTTGAGTCTCTTGATGCTTCAGCAGACGGTCAGGACAATCAGAAGCATAATGTCCTATCTTATCACATCTATAGCACATGATCTTGCTTGCGTCTCTAGTTTCTCTTCCATAGTTGTAGCAGCCTCTACCTCTTCCTCTACTGTAGAGTCTGCCACCACGACCTCGACCTCTAGCCTCTCCATTATAACCATGACTCTGTTCTTCATTGGCATACATTGACTTGTTCTGATCCTCTGACCCATCTTCTTCCTCTGAGATACGCTCCTCATAGGCCTTTAGACGCCCTATGATATCCTCAAAGCTTGTTGTGTTGAGATCTAGTACTTGCTCCAAGGTGGCTACTATATGTATGTATCTCTTCCTGGGAAGACTCTTTAGAAACTTTTTAACAAGCTTTACTTCTTCTATCTCTTCTCCAAGTGCAGCAGATTTAGAAGAAATCTCTGAGATTCTTCCTGTAAATTCATCAATAGTTTCCTTATCCTTCATTTTCAGACGATCAAACTCTGCCATAAGAGTCTGTAACCGTGCTTCTTTGACTCTATCAGCCCCCATGTATCTTGTTTTAATAGCGTCCCAAATCTTCTTGGCAGTGTCTAGTTCACCAACTTGTAAAACAAGTGATTCGGGTATTGATTGAATCATTAGTGCCATGGCTAGATTGTTTTTCTCAACGTCTTCTCCTTCAGCCTCAATAACCTCCCAGACCTTGTGTACTTTCAACAGGATCTTCATTTTGATCACCCACACCGTGTAATTAGTAGGCGTTAGCAAGGGACACTTGATTGATGATGATCCAGGTTCCTTCTTTGTCGTAGCAACAATAAGATCCCCCATAGCTTCAACTTTGAAGCTCTGATACCAAGTGTTGAAACTATAAAAGAAACACTTTGTATAAGAATGAAGTTTAGAATAACTCTCTTTTATTAATCTCTTTCAAGGATAAAACTCACTCAAAACCTTGAAACCCTCAAACTCATACAATCCACCATTACTCGATGGGTGTATATATATTGCTAACTGAGATCCTAAAATCTAGTAGATAAACTCAAATGTAAATGAATATCTCCTAAACAAACTNAACCTTGAAACCCTCAAACTCATACAATCCACCATTACTCGATGGGTGTATATATATTGCTAACTGAGATCCTAAAATCTAGTAGATAAACTCAAATGTAAATGAATATCTCCTAAACAAACTCATCTTTATCTTAAAACTTCTCCAATAAAGTAGGATCTCTTTAGCTTGCTCCGCAAGTCTCTAGTCTTGTCTCAATTACTTCAAGCTTACATCAACAACTTTTTCGGGACCCCTGAATGTGGTGGTCTACAACATCCATTAGATTAGAGGTCCTACCTACTAGCCACTGGAATCAGTTGTGTTAGATTAGTGGCTATTAGCTAGGCACTAGAATCAGCATCATAGGCCTTGGTGGTGGTGGGTGGGGAAGCACTTCAAGTCTTCAATAAACCTGTAACTTTTCTTGGTAGTAAAAAGTTCAACAACATCGGCAAAGTCTTGTGAGATATGTCACTCATGATTAACATCAACGTTGATGGTTCAGGATGCTCAGCTGCCCAAGCCACAATGTCCTCCAACATTTTGGTGTGTCTCGCATGTTACTTAAATGATGCTCTTTAGTCTTAGGAAAGGCCAAAGAGTCCAACACCATTTAATTACTTTGCTGTTTGACCTCTGTGAACTCATTTTGGCACTTCTGATTACTTGAAAATAAAAGTTCAACTTTTGTTCTAATTCTGAAATAAATGTCGAACTCCCATATAAACCAAACCTGTATGAAATTTCCAATTTTTTCCCCCAAAATGGGGTCAAAAATAAATTGATGAACCGGTAAACCAGCAAACCGAGATTGTGTCTAAAGAGAGTGACGTTTGCTTGTTTAGATTAAAAACAGCTAGCGTGTAGTTTTTGTTGTTGGCTTGGATCGTTATTTACGGCTTCCTCTCTTGATTGTCAAAAGGGGTGGGCGGGGGCCAGCTGTACCACCACTTTAATTCAAACAATAAGGTTACACGCAATCTCTGAGAAAAAAAATCTCCAAATCTCTTTAAATTAGGGATTCAAGCATTCGATGGAATTCACATGATGGCGTCGTTCTCCTCATTCTCAGTGAGAATTGCCTTAGTTTTTCTAGTTTTCTGCGTGATCGGCTTACAAGCTGCGGATGATCTCCCTGATCAAGCTGGCGGCGACATCTGCGGCGGGATTCCAATTCCAGGCGACTTCTGCCCAATTAACTGTGTCCAGGAGGATCTCGTTTGCGGAGCCAATGGGGTCACGTACTCTTGCGGTTGTGAAGACGCAGCGTGCAATGGAGTTCGTGTAGTCAAAAGAGGAGCTTGCGACGCAGGTAACGCTCCGGGCCAAGCTTAGTTACAGATTCATAGGGTTTGGCTCTTCTCGTGGTGTTTTCTGATCTCAAGACTTGTGTTTGAGATGTATCATGCTCTGTAGATCACACGTTGAATGTTTTTTTCCCTTGTGTCTGTATGTTCTAAGTTGAGTTGCTGTCTCAACTTAGAATACACGTGTTGTGTTTGTATGTTCGAATAGTTGTGTTTGTATTTTTATTTTGTACCTAAATAACTCGCGCTAAAGCTGCGGGATAACATAATACACGAAGATTTAATACATAATCTTCTGTACTTTTTAATAATAAATAAAGTTTACAAATTGTTTACTAAATATAAAACAGAATTATATAGTTCTACCTTTGAAACATATATTAAACGCCATAATTAATAAAGTATAATTTTGTGATTTTTAAATAATTTTAGAGTCAATTTGCTCAATACCCTAAAAGGTGTTGAATATCTTAACTTTGGGGAGAATTATTGATAATGGGGGGAGTAAAAATTGGGGGAAATAGGGTAGGAAGTGCAAATATAGGATTAGTTGTGTGTAGGGAGTGCAATATCTCTTAATTTGAGTCAACCGTTGTTGATTTCTTGCTTATAGTACATTTGTGATTTTTAAATAATTTTTTTTCTGTTTTATTAGTCGAAAAATCATATGAAATTAGTTTGTGGGCGTTATCATAATAATGGTTTGAATGTATTTTCTGTCATTGAACCATGATTTATAGATTAAAAAAAATTATTTGACCCCAATTTTATAAATATACTAAGAACATCTCTGATCTCACTTTATAAATATGACCCCATTTGTTTTTCAATTTTACTTTGAAATATGAGTTAATAAATGGAATTAAAAATATAAGTCATTTTTATTTGTATTAATCATATTTACTATTGCATTTTAGAGTTGGAAATATGGTAAGATTAGAGTAAAATTAAACTCCCTATGAGTTACTCACTTTAAAAAGAAAAAAAAGATACATTAAAATATTTGTTCCAAAACCATTTTACTTTAAACAAGCCATAGGCCAAAAAAAACGAAGTATTAACTATTTATATATTAAGTATCAACATATATGTAACAATACAAATGTTTATTTGGGATTGTTTTTTATATATACTTCTTGGTATATAGTAGATAAGATGTCCCACTACAAATTTGTAGTCTACACTATTTGTTTCTTTCTCTTTTCCTTTGAACATCTGAAATATTCCATTAAAATAACAAAGATATAGAGGTAGTTACAAAACCGGCTGAAAGAAGGTATATCCTTGGAGACAAAGCTGGGGGAAGATAAAATTTCCTGACACAATAAGATTACAACCAAAAATAAAGCCATACAAAGATTTTGTTTCAACCACAAAATGAATTTGGATCCATAGGATTCAAATGGTAAAAACAGTTTAAACCAGAAAATGAATATGGATCCATAGGATTCAATTGAATAGTTCTCTATATTTTCTATCTAAATGGTAATTAGAATCCTTATGTGTATGTAATTTACTTAAACTTCTAACTCCTTTTGAAATGGACCGAAGTCCGCAAGCTCTTTATCATTTTCACTAAATACAAGTCTACTGTAAAAAAAAATTCATTACGTAAATATGTTATAATAATATCATATAGGAATAAAGATAAATGAATCCCGAAGGTGTGTTGAAATTATTTTAAATTTTTATGGTCAAAAATGATGTTCATCTATGCTAAAAACATGTTTATTTGTTTCTGTGTCAGAATTATTTATTTGTTTTGCTTAAAAGGTACTAGTAGATATTTGAATTATTTTATGGCCTTTAATTTTAAATTGATTTGATTTCCTCTTTTATTAATTCTTCTTGAGAGAATACGTGGCTTCTGTATCATCATCATTATTCGTAGCACACAGTCTAATATCTCATCTGCCCTTCACATACACAATACACATAGGCAATTATATGATATAGGTAAATAGCCCTCGCTGATTTCGATGGCTTTTATTTCGCAGCTACGGTATGAATAGGCTGTTAACTTTAGCTGACATGCTCCGGTTTTGCTTAGTTTAACGAACTATAAATGTTAAAAATCTTTAGCTATGTACTCTTTCTCTACTTTTAGATTCCCACAAAAGTAGAAAATAGGACACACCATACAATATATAAATTAAATATACATCAATAACCATTTCTTAATAAACATCAATAATCATATATAGTGGAATGACGTAATAGACACAACTATTATGTGTTGAATGGCAAATAAATACAAAACAAACTGCATTATAGTTGAAGTGCAATAATTCTGCATTTTTTTCTAACAGTAATAGACATTCCACCACTAAAGTTCAATTCTCTATATGGAGAGATTTATAAAGTCTGGTTTCCGGGAAAGAGATAAAATCATCTTTTAACCAACTAGTTGTTGGTCTAGTGGTAATAGAATGTCTAATGTTTTCATTGGAATATAATATTTAAAAAATCTCTAAACATATTCTGTTTTCTATTTCATACATTATTTTGGAATAAAATTTATTCCAACCCTACTCCATTTCCAACTTTAAAATAGAGTAATGACTAGAGTTAATTTCTCCATTTTGGAATGAATTTTTGTATTTATAAGATTGTCCTTTAAATATTTAATATTTTTATTTTGTATTTAATGATATTTAACATGATATAATAACATGAAAATAATATTTCACAAAAAGTATTTAATAATTGTACACAACTTAAATAATATAAATAAAAATAACATAAAATAAATGATTTAGTAATTCCGTAAATAATTTCTGGGAATCAATGAAGTATTGCCCAAATATAGTAGATTGAAAAAGAGCTTGTTGATCTTGTGATACAATATTTTTCTTTGATAATATTGATACTTGTAGAGCTTGAATATATGAACATACATTTAGATAACGTATTGAATTCAAATCACAAAAAAAAGACTTTGGTTTTACAAATGTCATATATGAATACGTAAAAATAGACATATCAACGATAATTAAAAATATGAGAAGATTTTGTCAAACAGTCATCAATATATTTTTTGGAAAAATACATATGGTCACCAACGTCTAGTAATATTGCTAGACTTCTTTATATTGGTGAAAACAAAGTTCTTCAGAATGCTTGATAGTTTATACTTTTATGGATCTTTTGTAAGATAATTAGGGTGAATAATAATTTATTATACGTAAAGAGTATTATTAATAATTATTATTAAATAAAATAGAATTATTTTTAATTTTTTTTTAACATTGAAAATAAAGTAATATATTGAAGTAAAACTCAACTCTATTTTAATGTTGCATCATTTTAGAGTACAAAGGAAATAATACATCGGAGATGTTCTTACAGTGTACTCGGAAAAAAAGTAAAACAGTCTTTTTGATTTATCAAAAAAGCTTATTTTATATATCAAATGTTTCATGTTCATCTCTGCGTGCAGTCAAAGAGATGAACACACATTTTTATATATCAAATGTTTCTAGTTCTACCTCTCTGCTTATCTTATTCTATATATCGAATCCTTTATATATATATACATATAGGCTTACTTCGCAGTATGCTAAAAACTATTCAAGTGTTTATACCTAAAAAAATATTTTAAGCTTCCAAAAGGCTCTAGTTTATTTGTTATTATCCGTATAGTATCATTCGTGAAAAGCTTCAACATAATCTTTATTATTGTCTAATATTAATGTGACATTCTACAATACACTGAGGCTCTACAATTCTACACATCATATACGTTTTTATAGTTTAAACTAAACTTGGAACTTGGTAGCTATAAGCCCTAGATTATGATGGTAGTTAATTAATGTCTGTGAGTGACTCTATATGCAGTAATCATGAAAAGTAAGAACATACATAGACACATAAAGTAAGAACATACATAGACACATATACATATATCCTATATCAGGTTCATGTATATAGTATATAATTTGCACATTGTATTAGTTGTTAAGTTTATTTCATTTGTAGCTAAAACCTAAATAACCATTGGAATGCAATTAAGTGATCGGAGTTAACCACACTCATAAACACACTGAACAAGACCTAAAATGTACACTCCGTACGTGTATCTTCTATAACAGACGCACACAAAACGCACAAAAAAAAAAAAAAAAATATATATATATATATATATATATATATATATATATATATATATATATATATAGATAGATATGTGTGAGTTGTGCAAGTTTGCTAAGTAAAAAATAATACCCAATTTACTTCTGTCACCATTATTGCATCAGCAATATATATGTGAAACAGATCATACCTTTTCCATCTTACCCAGATGAAAAGGCTTTTCTTTTTATTTTATTTTTAATGGTATAAGATACAATAAAGTTTATTTGAAATGTAAAAGCTGCATAATCTGCTTGACTAATTGAGCAGCAGCAACGACTTCAGAAAAATGCAGCAGTAACACAGGACATCATCCATCTCAAATAAACTAAACAAAGTAAAAAGGTCAAAAACCATTTAATGTCAGTATGCACACCATGCTGCAAATTACATCACTTTTCTAAGACGACACAGCCCATATCTTCTGATTAGTTTCTGACGAGAGGGACATGGTTTTAAGTTTAACACTGATCCCTAGCTATCCAGGGTTTTATGTTCTGTATACTCTGAGTCTCTGACCCACAAAAGCTAGCTCATTGAGAAATAACTTAGAACTTTTTTTGAAGAACAAATTTGAATCAAAATCCAAACATTTAAAGAGCATTTAAAGAACATATTATATCCTGATATCATCATTGTGTCATATATATATATATATAGAATGTGTATAATGTCATATATAATGTGTATTAAAGTTGTGATTAATCTCATAATTAATCATCATTTATCCAAATCGAAAGACAAAGAACTCTTTCCTTTCTTTGTAAACAAGTGATGATCCTCATCAGCCCTAGCAGCTTCCATTGCTACTAGAGACTCATCACCGTCACGGCTCACTAACCTCAACTGGAGTAGAGAGCCAACACCAGCAATAGAAACGCCCCCACGTGACATACTACCACCGGAAGACGATGACTTGTCCTCCGTGCTATTCACACTTCCTCCTCCGCCGCCTCTGCCGCACTCCATATCCACTCCAAACAGCCTCAACCTCTTATGTCCTCTGGATGAAGCCATAGTAGCCACTTGTGCTCTCCTTTGCATTAACACCGGCACAGATTCAATTACAGCCATTGGATCACTTCTCTCCGTTGACTTCACATAATACCCAATTCCTAGATCTCGTTGATATCGATGATAAAGGTTGTGATGTTCGTAACTTACCGGAGTCTGAGGATAAGGGTAAGAGTAAAACCTAGGGAACATAGCTCCAACGACTTGATGATGATCAGGAATCTTTAATTGTCTCTTCCAGTCGATGAAAAGCTTGTCTTTATTACAAGAACCTCTCTGAAAAGAAACTATGTCGCCAGCATCAAGCTTCTTGTCTTTGACGAAACGGCTCCAGCCTTTGGTCATTACATAACTTTGGCTACTGTTCCAGTAAGAGTAACGGAAACTCCATGAGATTCCTATTCGATCTTGGAAGTTTAGAAGCAAACCTTTCTTGTCATTTGTTGAGGAATTGTCTAAAGGGAAGTATCTCTCTGCGTGTTGCTTTGGGATCACGAGTCGGTTTAGTTTACCGACGTCGCTTGGTGTTACTACTTTGTCGAACATGTGCTCTCTCTCCATTGAAGAAGCTTCTTCCATATGTCTCTCATCTTCTAGATTCATCTTCTTGTTTTGGGAATCAATATTCTCAGATCTCTCCATTCAGCTTGAGAGCAGTTCAATGAGAATATGGAGTTAAAAGATTCAATGAAAGAGGTGAATATAATAGAAATGAAACCCTAATTTCGAAATTAAGAAAAGGATGAGAATTGGAGACAAGAGGATGGTGGTGGATGAGATTAGACCTAATTATACAAAAGTAGAAAGTTGGCTTTATTTTGCCTAATTTCACTTATTAAGACGGTTCTCTCTGATCTCTCCCTCTCTAAACTGAGACTTTCTCTCTCTGCGGTTTATGGATCAAGAAGCTCTTAATTCCAATAAAACAAAAAGAGCAAATTATAACTTGATGCAATCTCTCAAGAACAAGAGGAGAAAGAGAGAGAGAGCTCATTTAATATTAGAATGATAGAGATATGGGCTACGCGGTGGGGACCCTTGGACCATCTGGTTTTGTTCATGTGAGCTTCTTGTTCTTTTTCTACCATCCTCGTTTTCTTTTTCTCTTCGTTATTACATTTATTTGTTTGCCCTTTTCTCTTCCCATAATACTAGGTGTTTTCCTGTGCAGAAATAAATTTTTTTAAAATAAAATTATATTTAATAATAAAATTTAGTTAGTTTTTAAATTTATTATTTTGTTACATTATTAATTTTACGTTAATTATAGGTAAAAATTAATTTAAAATACACAACATTTATTTAATTATATTTAATAATTTCTATATATTTAAAATTAAAATTTTGGAAAGATTTGTTTTGATCTTTTTCTTTTGATTAAAATATGTTAAATCAAATTCTATATAATTAAAAGAAATTAAAATATGTAAATTTAGGAATAAAATCATATTTAAAAATAAAATTTACTTAATTTTTAAATTTATTATTTTTTACATTATTAATTTTACTTTAATTATATGTAAAACTTAATTTAAAATAAACAACCTTTATTTTAATTTATATTAGTAATATATATGTATATATTTTAAATTAAAATTTCATAAATATTTTTTAATCTTTTTCTTTTGATTACAATATGTTAAATCAGACTCTATACAATTAAAAGATATTTTTAGGTATATAATTATCAAAATATAAAATTAAATAATATTGTAAAATTATAGATGTTAGAAATAAAACTAACGGTATTGAGATTAGAAAATTATATTTTTTTTATAAAAACCCGTATAAAATCTTGCAAAAAATATTAATAAAAATTATATAATTATAAAATAGACTTGGAAAATATTACAAAATTTTTAAATATTTTCATATTTCTATTTTACTATTATATTATTTATTGTTATGTTAATGATAATTTATGAATTATTACCATATTCTAAAAATTTACCAAAAGTATATATTAACATTAAATGTAAATGTATATGTCACAATTAATTATAAGCCACGTCATCATTATTAGTGGACATGTCATTATTTTTTTGGTGAAATTGATTGTGGTGATGATACATATCAAAATCACTTCATAAATAATATATAAGGGATATGTATATGTAAATACCATTCTCTTCTTTTTCCTTTTTTTTTTTGAGAAAGAATGTAAATACCATTCTCAAAATGTGAAAGAGTAAGCTTCACTATTATTATTATTATTATTATCTCGAGTGGTCCTTTAGCATAAGCAATTATACTTCTGTAGAAAAAGAAAAGGAAATATACTATCCGTTTAATTCCAATATGGTGAACTATTTCCGATTTAATTCAAAAATATTGTAACGAGAAAACGATTAAGATGATAATTATTTACATGAAGAATTAAGAAAATATGAAAAAGAGTGACAATGTGTGGTCAAATTTGATTACGAACAGATCAGTTTTTTGAAATCCAATCCGGAGTCGAACCATTTGTAATCTGGTTTGGGTTTTATAAAAAAACTCATTTAAAAATCAAATGAAACTCGTAAAAATTATTAAAACTCGGAATCCGACTATCAGTTCAAACCAATACGTAATTTTTACTTATTTCTATCCTCAGCTTTATTCAATTAAATTATTAAAATCTGTTTACTATTCTAATTAAGAAGTTAGGTTTTTAGCTTTTAAAGAAATAAAAAATCATATAATCATGTGGATTATGAATCTATTAACAAAACGAGTTTTTGAAGAAGAACATGTCAAACTTGATTATAATGATTTAGAAAATGTTTTTGCTAAGATGATAAAGTGACATACTATACAAATTTTGGACGTAATTTTTAAAATTTTGATTGAACTTTCTGTTTTTATTATCTAAAATATTGATTAAAATAGTTTATTTGTGTTTTTTTATGAAGATTTTACTATGGCATCTAAAGAAAATGAAGTGAACAATGATTGAGAGAACCAAAATTAATTGATTTGCTATTAGTTTAGTTTTATCATGACAATCTATTATAACTTGATGTTTTACTCTTGGCGTATTTTGAATTTAAAGTTTAATTTTATTATTCACATTAGACATTTAAATACTTTAAAATTTTAAGTCTTGATGTATTTGTATAATATGTCATAACTCTTAAATTATTACATTTTTTTTTAAATAATCTAAGTTATTTCTGATATATTGTATGTGATGAAAATAAAAATAAATAAAACTTAAATTAAGTATTATTGTAAATGTTTAAACATAAAATATCTATTATATTCACTAGTTAATGTATTATTATATAAAAAACTGATTAATTTATTAATCTACGATTCGTCCGTGGTCGATCTAATAATTCGGTGACTTAAGAAGTTATTCGGTTCAGTGTCTAGATCCGGTTTGAAAACATTGGAGGAGATGTAGTTACGTTGTATATGTTTTTTAGACATTTAACTCTAAACCTAAAAGCTAATTATTGTTACTTTTTATCGAAAATACCATAATTTACAAATACCAACTACAAAATAATAAGGCTTCAATTAAATCATTGAATACTCTCCCGAGATATAACACTCCAATTCATGTGTAAGATTAGACATCCTTTTAAATTTCATTGTATTTCAAAATTTTGAAGTTAGATACCCTCTATAGTATTTCATTATAAGTGTCACTTTACATTTTTGCACTTAAGAAACAATTAATTTTGTATATTTTTATATAAAACACAATTACTTAGACACCTAATCTTATTTTAACCAATTGGAAAATAAATTAAAAAATTACAATTAATAAATTTTTCATTGAAAACCGAAAACGACACTTGTTTTGTAACAATTTTTTTTATAATGACATTTAATATAAAACGGATCGAGGGAGTATGTTAGTGCCTTACATTTTTATTTTTCTTGATAGGAAAAATATAAAAGATAAGTTTCAAAAAAGAATATATACAAAAGAATAGTTAAAAATTAGTAAAGAAAAGACTATTGGATTATTATGAACAGAGAATAATAAATGAAAATTATTGAGGTCTGTGGTAACTGGTATCCCTTTTTGGATTGGTTACCTCTGTGTATTCAAGGACAATATGACATGTTGTTTTACAGTTTTGGTCTTTACTGTTGACTTTTTATTTGTTCTCCCACAAACTTATTTGCAGGATACAATAATATTCTAATTAATTAAAAAAATACAAAAGGTGAACAACTTATTATAAGTTGACAAAATATAATAATACATTTATTCAAATATATGCCAGTGTATAATTTATTTTATACGTGTTATAACCAGAAATAAGTTACATTAATTCTCAAGAGAAAGTACAATCTACAGATAAGTTTTTTTAGGTATTCAAATAAGGTCTGAAGTATAATATACAGCAAAAGAGTCTAGTGTCCTGGGATTGTTTTGGAACCAGATCTCCTCAATATTCGTCTATCACTAAACCACTCGGTGTAGTTAACATGAAGTGATTCTTTTGCTGTATTAATCGCACTCGTCCTTACTTATGCATATCAGGGATCTCATGTTTTAAGTTTCAACCTAACAACTTTACTAGGAGAGGAAACCTGACGACTTCAACTCATATACAAATCTATTGGAAGCTGTGATTACAATTTAGAAACCTATATATATATTCAATTTTTATTTTATTTATATATATAGGTGTGTATATATATACTGAAATATTTTATTCTGTCTAATAAAAAAGGTCTATGTATCATGAAGAACTGTCTTCTGACTCCTCGAAGATATAAAACTAGATGAAAAGTGATCCATCACCATCTACAGTATCAAAATGGTGGGCTGATTTAAGAAAATATTACATCAACAGACAGTTATCAAGTTATGATTATCGCCCTGATTTAATTTGTACTTTCTTTAAGAACATATTTTGCTATAAATTTCTATCTTCTTCGTTTAATAAGATGATGCATTATTTATGTTGTCCAAAAATGCATTATTTTTTAAATAAAATTATCTATATTTTGTTATTACGAAGCTGAAAGATCAAATATGGAATTTTTAGTCCTTTAAATCAACGTAATCATGCTTGTCTTTAATATGTATCGGATAACGTGGATACTTAAATAAATTATACTACTATTGTAATTCTCCATTAACCAGAATTGTAGTGATGAAGACTTAAATATGCTTTTATTGAATATTATAAATTTTTTGAAAAAAATGGAATTACAATTTTAATTTGGTATACATCTCATTATTTAGACCAACATCACGTGAGCATTACTACATAATACACCTCTTTTTCAAGAACTAGACATGTAGCATTCACAGTTTTAGAAAGTGACAAAAAAAAGACATGTAGCATTCATTCACATGACTCCTCCCGATAAAATATTAAAGCTTTTTTTTTACCAAAACAATAATATAAAAGCTTGATTAAGCTCTTTTCACGTAAAGTCATGTTAAATCTTACCGTTATTTACGTACGTGGTGAGTGGTCCTGAAAAAGACGAACCACCGTGCATTTCATGTCTCTCGGGCTAATTTCGGCTTAATCAAGGAAGAAAAATACGTAATTCTTGACTAATTTATTAAGAAAAGGTTAAATTTGCATGTTCTATGTCTATTTTAAAAATAATTAAAGAGTAGGTGAAACAACATTGATCGAGTACTTATTAAAAAAAAAAAAACATTGATCAAGTATGATCCA